TAATAGTTATGAATAAAGGAAACCACAAATTATGTTATTGTGTTAAATTTCATATTATTCATTTTTATTATTTATATATACTAAATTTTTATATGAATCATTATATATATTATATAAATGAAATATATTTACTTTTATAAATAATAATTTAGAAAAAATAATTTGTTCAAATAAATTACTAAATTTGTTTTGATTTATTTTATTGACATACACAATGATGTTAGAATAATTATTTTTTTTAAAAAATTCTATTAAAATTATAATAAACAATAAAAATTCAGATTTATCTTAATTTTTATAAATAATTAATTGGTTTATATTATTAACTATAAAATATATCACAAATAAAATATCCATTAAAAATATTTGATAGCTAATATTGTTTAGACATTTATTAATTATCTTTAAAAAATTTTACTATATTGTCTCATTTTAAATAAAAAAGTTTACATTTTAAAATATTAATCGATTTCACAATTATTTAATATAACCCATTTTATAGATCCAGTACAGAACAGCATTGAAGAATTGTCATTTTATTAATAAAAGAATTAAGATTATCAAATCTTGAAAAAAATTTTAAAAATGCATTTTGGTAATAATAATTATCATTTTAGTGGGCTAGTCTAGGTCCAAGGAGTGGGGAAGGGGGGGTAGGAATATTTTTTCAACATAAGATTTGATATGGTTTGGAACTCAAACTCCCAGAATAATAATGCAAGCTAATAGATTAGTAGCCTTTCAAGATTCTGCTAACACTTTATGGACTAAATATATACATAATAGGACTATTTATTCCTAGAATCCAAAGAATACATACTTCAAAGATGGAAAATCGAAATTTTAATGAATTATGAAAGAGCCCGGATTAAGTTATTAAACGAAATATATGAAATTTCAATTGGGCAAACATAAAATTAAACTTAAAATTAGTATTATTTTTTTTTAATTAGAGATTGGTAATAGAGATGAATAGCCATAATTTGTTATTCATTCAAAGCTGGCATTATATATATTTACGTCCGATTCTCAATTTTTCTTAACCCAACCTATAAAGACAAAATTTCGTTCACGTCCATAAAAATTTTAATTTTAAATTGAAAAATACTATAATAATCTTATTTTATTTAGTTATATTCGTCTTTTCTCTGGACAAACGATTATCGGCTATAAAAAAATTAATCATTCACTGAAAACCGAACTGGCCTGGGGCTGATAAAATTTTTACTAGAATATTCTGAAAAAAAAGAAAAATTTAAGTTGATGCCTTAATACAAAATATTTTATCGGACCATGAAAATTAATAAATATTTTAAAAACTAGATATACTAGATAATTTATTGTTTTTTTGGTGTTGTTATGTCGCATAACTTTTGCCCAATTTCAGTAATGTTTAGCCAAGCTTTTAACCTAAAAAATAGACTGAAATCTCCAAGTTGAACCTAAACTTAAATAATGAAAACAATTCTTTAGGTTAAAAACTTTACAAGATAGAGTCATTTTGGAATTGGTCAGTTAGGTGATTTAACAACAATATTTTTTATTATGGCCTATGCAATTTATAATAAACTTACTTTACTGGCTGGTGAAAGATGGTCCAAAAAGGGCAAGATACCCAATTAAAAATGGCGTCTAAAGAAATTGTAAGAATTGTATAGGTCCTTAGAGATCCTTTTTTATGTTTACTGGTTTAAGTCCAGTGTACCGATCTATAAAAAAGTGAATAAATATTTGAATCATTTATATGGTTTAAAATTTAATTATTTAAAGTGTCTATTATATTTAAATTGCGGTACAATTATTTTTCGAATATAATTTTTGCCAAAATAATATCTGTTGCATCTGTTGATATATAATTGACATTTATGGACGTTCTTCAAATTAATTTCGAATAAGACATAAAAAGCATTTTATAATTCTTGGTTCTTGATCAAATGATCGGATAATTGATTGATATAAATTTTGAGCAAATTTTTTTAAAATAAAAATATTTGATTTTATTCACAGAAACTAGATGCCATATAACATATGTCTTTTATTTTGAGAAATTACAAAAATTAATTTCTATATTTAAATAAATTCGGGCTGGGCCGGGTTTGAAAAATAAGGCCCGATACAGATCACTAATTTACAGCAATAGTAAATATATGTATTTATTTGTTTATCCTTCTACCTTAATATTATTTATTTATATTATTTTACATATTTTAATAAAAATTCTAAATAAATTTTGAATAGCTTTATTTATATATATTTTACATTTTTCAAGACACTACTTTTATTATATAAAAATAAATAGATTAACAAAATAATACAAATCAAATTTTAAATAATTACTATCGATAGGAAAAATTTAATAGTGGCAAAATAATATCTTCACATGAATAAACTATTTTATTTATAATATTGGCATTGTGTTGTGCTAATGTTAAAATGAATATTTTTAGAAATATTTATATTAAAAATATAATATACAATATATATCCCTCCTATAGATGGCGCCTTTAAAAATTTAATTAAAATAATTATTTTAATTGTTTTTGTTATCCATACTAGATGAAAAAATTTTAATTTTTTAACTATATTTTATTTTTATAAAAAGTTTAAATTTTAAAATACTATTAAATTTATAAATAAGAAATCACAATTATTTAATATAACTTATTTAATTTATCGCTTGTCATTGTTAGTTATTGAGATTATCATAAGAAGCATCATTTTAATTTTAACCTCATGATAATGTAGATAAAGTGAGGAGAATAGTGGAAATGAATATGATTTACTAGTGAAGTGATTCACAATTAATCTAAGACAACCATTAAGCTTGAGGTGAAAGAGTTTATATTGATAAAACAGATGATATAATCATCCAAAAGCAAATCAATGCTTATCAATTGGAATACAAATAATTTAATTCCACGATATCCCTATATTTTATTTTGAAACAATTTTGAATGTATCTTATATTTGGATTTTTTTTATATGAACTTTGCAATTTTATTTTATCTAGAATATGAAAAGAATTCTTCAACCGGGAGGAAGGGGAGGTCTGTCTAATGAATTAGAGTAGAGATCTTCAAAGAATGTTATGTAAATAGAATAGAACATTTAAGTCAGTAGAGACAAAAGTGGGGACGATAATTTTTTGTAAATAGTGTCATTCAATCACTGTTCAAAAACAAAATTCATTAACCCACAAGGCGTGACCCTAAGTTACTCATCGAGTGTCGGTGATTTTGAATGCTCAAACCCACATCTAATTGAAGATTACTGATATTTTATATAAATATTATCCTTAGACATTTAGCATTATTCACACAAAAAAATTAGACTTTATAAATTTTATTCATAGACATATAAAGGCGTTTAATAATAAACAGAGAAGTGAATATTGTCTGGCCATGTATTGATTGGCCACAATTGGCGTATTCAAAAATTCATATTGAAATGAAAAGTTTTTTTCCACCACACCTCTATCCCCCCAGAAATAGTTATACCCATCAAGACCAAGAATGAAGACTTATGGTCAAACGATATTAAAAGATACCCATATCAAAAAAAAATTTTTTTTACGTTTTTAAACTAAAGAATTGGTTTCAATATTTAAGTTTAGGTTCAACTTAGAGATTTCAGTCATTTTTTAGGTTAAAAGCTTGGCTAAGCATTGGAATTTGGCTAAAGTTATGCCACATAGCAACACTAATAAAAAAACATTAAATTATCTAACATATCTAGCTTTTAAAATATTGGTTAATTTTCATGGTCCGTTAAAATATTTTGTATTAAGACCTCAAACTTAAATTTCTTTCTTCTTTTTTTCAGAAAATTAGCAAGTAAAAAGTTTAAATTTTTCTGAAATTTTGAATCAGCTAGCTCGAGATGAAAGACACGAAAAAGTTAGTCAAGACGGTACTAAGCCCAACTCCTTAAAATCTCTTCTTAGGGAACAAAACCAATATCACTGATGAATGGCCCTAGAAACATGAGTCTGATATCTAGTACTATTATTACAGATTAGAAAACCAAGAACGAATATGAAAAAAACTCTAAATGACAAGAAAAAGAAAAGTAAAAGTTTTTCATCGATGATCCCTGGTCCTAAAGAAGGTAAAAGCTACCTCTGATAAATCATATAAAATAACTGAATCAATATCAGAAGAATGTTTCAGAGAGCTAAGAGTAGCCTAAAGGACGGCAAACTTCTTCTATAAAATTAAAGACTTTCGACTAGGGGATAGAACTAACAAAATCTTAGATAACGCCTTTACAAAATCTTGCGATTCCTTAAAAGTCTTAAATTTGGCGATCAACTATATATTTGAATACCCCGTTCAGTTAGGTTAAATTTTTAAATCTGAGTGGACTTGTCACCTCAATATTTTCTTTCTTTCTTTCTTTCTTTCTTTCTTTCTTTCTTTCTTTCTTTCTTTCTTTATTTCTTTCTTTCTTTAATTAAAATCTAATTTATTAAATTATAAAATATAAAGGATGTGTCAAAAACATTAAAAAATTCAATTGGCTAGCTTTCGGATATTTTCCAATATAAATATAAAAAATATATTTTTGCAAATATAATTTATTAACATAGTTTGTGTCACTTGTTTTTTAAAAAAAACATTTCATTTGTTAGAAATAAGATATTATAGAAAGCTTGTTACTTTTTTCCTAAATTCAACTTTGTATAAATATAAAATTAGATTAAAACGAAGTTGGCATTCAACATATGACCTTACTTAATAGGTTCAAAGCTAAGCGAAGCACCAGATCAATGCAACATAGAAATTGCTTGGCGACTGCTTTTTTAAATATCGATCGATTAGGCCTTTTTCAATTTATAGTCAACAGTTGTTATTATTTTTTTTTGAAATTTATAAAATATTTTTTTTAAAAGAATTTCAAAAATATATTTATTTAACTTTCGTTTTATATTTGAAACCTCAAATCCTCGAAGGAATTTGACTTTAAAAAAAATTTACATTTAATTAAATAGTGCAGAGCAGATCCGGTTCAAAAAATGATATGAATTTATGCCGAGCCAAAATAAAAAATCTGAGCTGGTCATAATATTTTGCATAGTATCAAAGAGACTAGGTATTCAATTCGTTTATTTTATAAATATTGCTTTCTTTAATTTTCACTAAACCTGGGAACAGGATAAGTCCATAACATTATACATTATATTTAATTTTGAAATTTTTTAGGTGATGATATGTACTTTAACTATTACATGGAAAAGGAAATAGAAACCACATAATACATACAAACATTGATGTTATATAATGTTGATCCAAGGTAGAATTAATAATTTTTCAAATATATTTTAAATTATATTAAATATAATTTACAGGCATAATTTAAAAAATAGATTTTAATATAATTCTTAGAAAATATTTAACCTCACTAAAATATATTAGGTTTAGGAGTCAATTATTTAAGGCTTTGGCTATTTGTATTTAATTGTTAAAAATCGTTAACTTTTAATATTTTTCCTTTCAAATTATAGTTCGTAATGATATTTTATAGATTATGGCTAAAGTTTTATTTAGATTTTTTTAGGGTAAAATTAGTGTTGTTCGCCGCGAGTCGCGACCCCGACCCAAAGCTCGGGTCGTTTTATTCGACTCCGACTCAATGTTTGGGTCGTTTTTTTTGACTTCGACCCGAGTTCAAGCCGAAAAAAACGACTTCGACCCAAAATATGGGTCGTTTTTTTCGACTTCGACCCAAGTCCAAGCCGAAAAAAACGACCTCGACCCAAAATATGGGTCGTTTTTTACGACTCCGACTCAAAATTTGGGTTGTATTTTTCGACTCAAACTTGAAATTTGGGTCGTATTTTTCGACTCAAACTTGAAGTTTGGGTCGTATTTTTCGACTCAAACTTGAAGTTTGGGTCGTATTTTTCGACTCAAACTTGAAGTTAGGGTCGTATTTTTCGACTCCAACTTGAAGTTTGGGTCGTATTTTTCAACTCCAACTCAAAGTTTGGGTCGTTTTTCTGACTCAGACTCAAACATCGGGTCGTTTTATTCAATCCGACCCAAAATATGGATCGTTTTTTTTAAAGACGCCTTAAAGTTAGGGTTGCTTTTTTTCACCTAACCAAATATCTAGATCATTTTTTTCGACCAAAAGTCAAATAACATTTAGTAGATATTAATATAATAGGCGGGAAAGTTTCTTAAAGCTTCTTTAAATTATAACGCTCTGGATTAACTATTCCATCATAGTTATTTTTTAAAATTTTTAAGTAAAGATGTACCATAGAAAAGAGCCATTTGTTATAATGGTTATTTTTGAACTTTTTTAAATGAAATAGATAAAAATATATATTGTAGACATGTTAAATCAAAATTTCAGTGAAGATGTACCATAGATAAGTGACAATTGTCATAATCGCCATTTTTGAACTTTTTTGAGTTTTTTTAAAGCAAATTGCTAAAAATATATATTCTGAACATGTTAAATTAAAAATTCAGTGAGGATGTATCATAGATAGGTGACAATTGTCATAATCGTTATTTTTGAACTTTTTTCAATTTTTTTAAAGGAAATAGCTAAAAATATATATTCTAAACATGTTAAATTTAAAATTCAGTGAGGATGTATCATAGATAGGTGACAATTGTCATAATCGCTATTTTTGAACTTTTTCAAATTTTTTTAAAGGAAATAGCTAAAAATTAATATTCTAAACATGTTAAATTAAAAATTCAGTGAGGATGTATCATAGATAGGTGACAATTGTCATATTCGTTATTTTTGAACCTTTTTTAATTTTTTTAAAGGAAATAGCTAAAAATATATATTCTAAACATGTTAAATTAAAAATTCAGTGAGGATGTATCATAGATAGGTGACAATTGTCATAATCTTTATTTTTGAACTTTTTTCAATTTTTTTAAAGGAAATAGCTAAAAATATATATTCTAAACATGTTAAATTTAAAATTCAGTGAGGATGTATCATAGATAGGTGACAATTGTCATAATCGCTATTTTTGAACTTTTTTCAATTTTTTTAAAGCAAATAGCTAAAATATATATCCTAAACATATTAAATTAAAATATCAGTGAGGATGTATCATAAATAAGGGACAAAAAATGGTTATTATATACACGAGTAGTTAGGTACATAATAATTTTTAAGTGATAAAATGAGATGGTAATATATTTCTTGTAATTTTAATTTATAATAAAATTCTTAAATATGTTATTGTCATAGACTGGGTTAGAAAATCAACTATCACATAAACTCCTATGTTTTATTCATATTATATTTTTAAGTTTGAGGATATTAAAATATTTCCTCTTTGAAGTTACTAGTTAGGATAAAATTTACTTGGCACATCTTACAATGATATTTATACCTTGTTTTTTTTTTCGAGAATAAATTTTATGCGATATCTCATGAGGAAATTACATATCATTGTACAGAGAATTAACTTTGTATATATTATCTGCACCCATATCTTTTATATCAATCTCTATCGATGACATTTTAAATTATATTGGAAAATAGATTGTGTAGATTTCTAAATATTAATTTAAAATAAGATGCTAGAATTAATTATAGATATATCTTAATAATTTGTATATGCATTTATTATTTAAAATCTCTCGTTTTAACCCTATTTAGCAAGAAAAATATTGACTAATCCTGAAAATTGGACAACTTTTATTAATAAAATTTATGTTACTCTTTAAAATTAAATTATAATTTTAAAAACAAAAAATGAATAAAAAAAAAATTAAAATTTAATTTGGCTACCCTCAAAAATAATAAAAAATTTTTGGAAAGTTAAAAAAAATGATTATTAATCATATCCCTAACAATGAAGAAAAGAAAAAATCTCAACAAATTTGCCGTCTAGCTGGCACCACGCCAAGTAAAATAAAATATCTTTTTTAATTTTAGAATTTAAATAGTCACTTCACTTCCATATGGAATTTTTAAACTAATAAAACAATAAATTTTTTTTATAAGTATTTGCGATTCCGGATGCATTTTTTTAATATAAAATATGAATTTTTTTAAATATAATTTAGTAACTTAGGCGAGCCATATTTTTCAAAAATGTAGTGTTAAGTCGAGTTTTTTTAAGTCATACTGTAATTCTGAGCGTTTTCCGTACTTTTGCATGATGGCTAAAGATTTTTTGTCGCAGCAAAGTACATCCGTTGAGAGCGAGCGTGTCTTCTCAAGAGGGGTGGACACCGTAACAAAGAAAAGAAATCGCATGGCCTCCGAAACACTTAAACAGTGTTTATGTTTAAATTCATGGGATATCAATATCATGAATAATAAATTTTATACATAATTTTTATATCTATATATATTGTTAAATTAAATTTTTTGTACATTAATAAATATATATAATTTAAATAAAAATATTTAAACTATAAATGTATCAAATATTTAAGATGTTTTGAGCTTAGTGTTCTTGTTTCAGGCTGTTGTTTTTTATGAATACTGGAGAATATTAGTGTTTTAATATTTTTTGATTTTAAATTGATAACTAAAATAGTTTTTGATATTAAGATTTAGAATTTTGAACACTTGAGAAAAATTACACATTAAAATTAATACTGGGATTAACTTTGAACCATGTTATAAAGCGCTTACTTTTTTTCAGGCGTTAATTATTCACTATTTTATTAAGTAGAATATTATGAGAGCAATTTTTCTCATAGATTATATAAAGGTATAGATATCTATTATCAATTACAGAATTAGTCAATATTTTTCTTGCTAAATAGGCTTAAAACGAAACGCCTAAAAATAAGTAAGTCTATATTTATCTAAGAGAAATTCAATATTGATATACATAATAATGTTAGGATAATTATTTTTTAAAAAAAAATTCATTTAAATCCTAAATTTACAATAAATATTTTTCCTAATGATGGCGCTTTATAAATTTATCGTAATTTTTTATAAATAATTTATTGATTTACATTAATAAATAGAATAAAAAATATATTACAAATAAAAATGGTGTTAAAAATATTTGATAACCAATATTGTTTAGAGATTTATTAATTATCTTTAAAAATTTTCACGATATTGTCTCATTTTAAATAAAAAGTTTAAATTTTAAAATATTATTTGATTTCACAATTATTTAATATAACCCATTTTATTTATCCTCAGTACAGCACTGAAGAATTTTCATTGTAATAAATAAGAATTAAGATTATCAAATGCATTTTGATTGTAATAATAATTTTCATTTTAGTGGGCTGGTCTAGGTCTTGGTGGGGTCAGGAATATTTTATCAATATAAGATTTGATATGGTTTGGAACTCAAACTCACAATAATAATGCAAACTCATATAATAGTAGCTGGTCAAAATTCTAATAACAGTTTATGGGCAAAATATATATATAATAGGACATTAATCCCAGAATCCAAATGTAAGATGAATAACGAAATTTTAATGTACTCTGGAAGAGTTAGGCGAATTTATCATAATCAACATATATTTGCAATTACATAAAATTGACTTTAAAATTAGTTTTTTTTTAAATTAGAGATGGAATATAATATTTTTTTGATTATTTAGTTATACTCGTCTTTTCTCTGTGCAAGCGATGATCGGCTATAAAAAAATAATTAAGCGTTCACTGGAAATCCCAGTTGGCCTGGGGCTGACAAACCTTTTACTTGCTAATTTCCTGAAAAAAAATTTAAGTTTGATGTCTAATACAAAATATTTTAACGGACCATGAAAATTAACCAATATTTTAAGAGTATGATATGTTATATAAGTTAAGGTTTTTTTATTAGTGTTGTTATGTCGCATAACTTTAGCCCAATTCCAAGCCAAGCTTTTAACCTAAAAAAATAGACCTAAGTTGAACCTAAACTTAAATATTGAAACCAATTCTTTAGTTTAGAAACTTTACAAGAGAGAGTCATTTTAGAATTGGTCAGTTAGGTGATTTAAACAATATTTTTTATTATGGCGCAAGCAATTTTTAATAAAATTATTTTATTGGCTGGTGAAACATGGTCCAAGAAGGGAAAAAGACCCGATTAAAAATGGCGTCTAAATTAATTGTATGAATTTAATTTTTTTATGTTTATAGGTTTACGTCCAGTGTACCGATGTGTAAAAAAGTGAATAAATATTTGGATTATTTATATGGTTTTAAATTAAAATATTTAAAATATCTATTATCTTTAAATTGCGGTACAATTATTTTTCGAATATAATTTTTGCCAAAATAATATCTGTTGCATCTGTTGATATATAATTGACATTTATGGACGTTCTTCAATTAATTTC